ACACAGCGCCATCTAGTCCCACAGTGAGCAGACCTTGTGTTCTGGGTACTAGACTAGTGATAGAAATACTTAGATGCTTGTTTTGTAAATAGGATAGATAATTGTCTAGGAGTAGATAATTGTGCATATATATCAAGTTAGTTTTTAAAACTATAGTATACCGAGTCAAAAGTCGAAGCGAAGTGGAAAATAACATATAATTTTTAAAACCTCAATGTAAAACTGCGTGATGACTTTAATATAGAAACTTCAAAATTTACTATCTAATTTTCACTTTGTTCTTAGATGAAAATAGCCAAAGTTACTCCTTATTGCATCAGCTACCTGCCAAAAGAAAGTCCCGTCAAAAATAGTAAAAAATGTTATTTTGGTGTATGTACCGTATTTATATTCATATGCACGTAGTAAAAAACCGTTATTTCAATATTACAAACAGACACTCCAATTTTATTTATATGTATAGATTTATTATAATAACAATGATAATAATAATTTTTATTTCACATCCAATAATTACAATTTAAATTATTCCCTCCTACTAAAAAAGAAGTACCTATTTCATTTTTTACAATTTACAATTATTGTAAATTTTTATTATATTTATTTATTAGAAGATTGTAAGATCACCATTAAGTAACGTGTACAAGAGCGACAGTATTGTCTGGTGGATTACAAATTGCGCAATGAATTGACAGCAAGCTCCACCCTATCTATACGCCATTAGCGGAGAAAAAGTTGAAAGAAAAATGACATGAGGAACAACGCACACTGCGACAGATACATTTATATATGTTTTTTGCTGATAAATAAAAAAATGTACATATACGCTTAAACTTAAACTTATATATTTATTAATTTACGAAAATATTTCATAAATCGCAGTATAACATTGTGGTTAGTAGACAGAAATTCACAAGATACAGCGGATTACCTTTATCATTTGAATTTTATAACAATATATTTTATTAACATTTGAAATTTGGTCATGTATCTTATATATAAAATTCTTGTGTATCGTGTGTTAGTTACCATACTCATCCGAAACGGCTTGACTAATTTAAATGAAATTTTATATGCAGTAGGTCTGAAAATCGGCTACTCTCTATTTTTCATACCCCTAAGTGATAAGTGTTATCCCACCCCTAACATTTATTTTTATTTCTTGTACAATTTTTTTATTATTTCTATATAATGTGGCATTTAACCCTTATTACTTAGGGCTATGAAAAATTTATAGTAGCCGATTGTCAGACCTACTGCAAATAAAATTAATATAAATCGATCAAGCCGAACATGACACGAGAATTGTATATATAAGAAGATTCTAATACTATTAAATACTATATATAACATATCAGTACAATAATATTGCCCAGTGTAAGTCGCGTCTATCGGTCGCTCTGATGGAATTCTTACTGAGTTTTTAATAGAGTTGGCCACAACCCTTTTATTATAATTAGTTATTGTATTTACAGCCCCCTACCCCCCACCCCCCTCCCCTGCCGCCTGCCACCCCTCTACGAGCAGTATTGACAAATTGGGCCCCCTCTTAATGGGAATTAAAAATCACAACTGCCGCTCTCTGACGCTTGATGGCTTTAAGAAAAAACTTTTCCTCTAATAATTTATAAGGTTTTTTTGACGGGGTCTTTAAATAATGGAAGGGTTATCAGGGGGAGTGTTGCCGATTATGATTTTATAAAACAAATACAGTCGATACTTTCTTATGAAAGTCTATTAGTAATCATAATTATTATTTTATATTTGATATGAAGATAGATCTCAAAAAATAATTTGAGGAAAGTGAAATAGGGGATGAAAATTTGTGCAGGCACAGTTGCGGGTAACTGTTAGTTATCTGTGTAAATACTAGCTGTCTTCCTGAATTGACATCTATAGACGTTAAACGAACACATTTTTACATTTACATTTACACATTTAATTAAATAGAATTAAAAAAATTCGGTTAAGCAAAATCCAATACCTAAGTCAAATTAAAAAATACGTGGACATAAGAATGACGACGTAAAAAAAAACGCATCTTAATTGGTCCATTCGTTTAGGAGCTACGATGCCATAGGCAGACTACGGTGCCTCTTTTTGCATCATGGGTTAAAATAAAAATATTTGCAAAATAATAATTTCAAATTTGTTACCATGATACTAGTGATCACATGCCTGTATCACAAATAAATATTATATGACACGATATCAGAGTGACGTGACAAGTGTGAACACGGCGGGACACCAGTTAATTATATCTTTTTGTGCTCGCTCTCGGCGGGAGATTGCTGTGATTACGTGACTCCGTATTACCGCGTTTATCATAGACTATACGGTGACACGCGAGGTGTATACACGGTTATATTGTCTCTGAGAGACACGTAGCAGATACAAGCAAGGCAATTCTATTAAAAATAAATGATAATTAAATTGAGTGATTAAAATAAATAAATAAGTTATAATAAATAACTAGTGGTATACCGCTCCGCTGCCCATTTGGGTAAAATATGTCCTATATTCTATGTAATTTACAAGCTGATGTTAAGCAGTAATCGTCGACACCCGTGATACCGTTCTTGCGTCGCCATTCCAAAGGAAGAAGATGTCATGCCTATAAGAGGCCTGTAATTTCACTGACTTTTCTCACTCTACAACCGAAACACATTTTATTAAGCAAACTTGGCGGCTGATATAGTAATCTGAACTAATTACTCCATAGCTAGCAAGGTTAACCTCCACGCAGTTCCCCTGACCTGATCTCATGTTCATCTTATCATCCTCCATTGGTGCCCTGTTAGCGTAATCGTTAACGCAGGTGGATGCATCATTCTATCACCATTGATTATAACAAAATAAACCGTTGTCTTTTAGCCGTGAAAAGGTAAAAAACAAACCGACAGACAAACATATTTTCGCGTTTACCATATTACGACTTTATTATATATGTATATGCTATAATGTTTTAAATCAAATCAAATGAAAAATTAAAATTATTGATATAGGTCATTTTAATCATTTGTGAACGTCAAATTTTTTGTATTAATATTTCATCCTCTAATAACTTTATTACGAAATTTTATAAGTTTCCATTCAAAATACATAAACAACTGCCCCTACTTAAATATTTATAATCTATGATACTCAAGCTCCAGAGCGCTTTCACGCTCACACAATACGCGATGCAGATTAAGCAAACACAGTTTTAATTAGAGAGATTCGCAGACTGCATCTCGTATAGAATGTGTCGCGTATGAGAACTAAACAGGCCAAAATGAGAATCTTGTATAAAGCTGACTCATTTGCTTCAAATAAAGCAGTACTTGCATGCAACTTTGCCTAAATAGTAGTAAAAATATTCCAAATATAAAATAAAGTTTTATATTCTTAAAAACTACTCTAAGTACGGTATTAATAATAACTAAAAGTATGTATTTCCTAAATAACATGTACATGCATGTTTCTATTGTCGATTTATGAAGTGTTCAAAAAATCTTTATTCCTATAAGATTGAAGTATTCATCTTATAGGAATAAAGCTACAAATCTCTGATTAAGTTACCATTAAATTCGAGAATTTTATTGAAAAAAAGTTACATGTGTTTTATTAATTTAGTTAACACAATAAGACAAATTTCTAGATAGGGACATCCCTATCACCTTGGGGTATATAAAATAGTCTACGACCTAATCTCAACATATAAAAAAAACCATAAGGTAACGGACAAACCGTTAGAAGGAGTTTAATAACAATCAATAACAATCACTGTGACACTTTATTTTTATATATTAGATGTATCAAATATAGTTTTTATTTAAACTATAAACGAGTGTCTTAGGTCTCATGACTAAAACTCAAGCGCCAAATATTTTGTAGTAAGGGAAATACAATATCGATATACAAGCTCAACATCACAGAGGCACAGCACTAATATATTCCATCAAGCAAGTAAACCGCAATCTACTTTCCGCGCTCCATACCGCGACCACATAGAATCTAGCACTTTCTTTGCTGACTGAAATAAGATTTTATTATAAAGTCATAGAAGTCAGTTTCATCCAAATACATTTCAATTTACAAAACAAGTAACATTGATCTTACACTTCCTTATCTCATAGTAATTTGTAATTATTATTGTTGGCAATACTATAATAATAATAATATCCCTGGACAATTAACACAGTGCAATCTAGTCCCAGGGTGAGCAATGTGTTATGTGTACTAGACAACTGATATAAATAAGTATATATTTTTTTAAATACATACATAATTTACATACGAAATACCCAGACCGATACAAATGATCATATTCATGAATACAAAATGTTTATACCGTGCGAAAAAGGAACCTTTGGAAGTAAGGCGTTGTGCTAATCCAGGCCAGCGAGGTCGTCAGAATAGCCTTATCCTGTCATAATTCCTATTTCTTATTTGCATTTATTAAAATATGGTCGAGCGCAGTGATGGCTGGCTCATACATCATACTCGTGAACGAGTGCTGGTTGTTGGGACTGGTCTGCTCTAATCACTACGACTGTTTCAATCCTATTGTGTATTTAATATCTGACCCTAATAAATTATTGCTAGTCGGTGGTTTGTATTCGCATGTTTCGAATTGGAAATGTAAAAGAGCAACATGCAGGTTCTTGCTCGTTCTTCTTGTGATGAGACAGCTTTCCGAATGAGCGGCAAATTAATATAATGATAACTATGACTATTCAAAAGCGCTTAAATTAAGTTTATTTAAACAAAAAAAAATCTATTTTTTCATAATCGGTCATTGTAAATCATTGTGAGTGAATTGAGGTTAAAATTGTTACAACAGAATATTATTTTTAAAAATAGCAATCTACCAATAAAGAACCACTTGTGGTTTAATATAAAAATAAAAGAGTAATATTGTTATAGAGTTATAACACTGTAAAATTAAACGGACATACAAAGACTACAAACCGAGAAACTATCAAAAATAAATCCGAAATAACAATAAAAAAGCTTACCTGTGTAGTAGTTTTCTCTACAGCTTTCGGTTGCAACCTTTGCAAATGGTTCGGTATGCGTGCCTCCATAAATTCCTTGCTCGTTTCTTTGTTAGCCTTTGATTTGTCATTCGAAGTGTTTTGCTTCGCGCTTCCTTTCGATATCTGTAAACAAACGTTACATCTAAAAAATAAAAATAAACTAGTTAACCCACGCAACTTCGTCTGCATCACACTTACTTGACATTTATCATATTTCGCCCAATTTACATAATATCTTTTTAAGAGTTACGCCAAGTTTAACCCGCATTTTGCTTAGTGGTCTACAGTGAAATTATATGGTTATAGGCTTCATAATGGTTAGAATAGTTTGTCTAAGTGCCAGTTTTTTATAGGGAGCTTTTGTTTTCCCGAGATATAGCATTCCAAAACTTTGGGAGCTATCAGGTGCCGCTAGCGGCGAGTATGCCATGGTGCATGACCCACGCCTCCCAGAGACCCATTTGGAACCCAACATATCGGAAAGGCGAAACCGGCACTTGGACAAAAGATCGTACTAATTATAAATGATATCCCTAAACGAATATTTTCTGTTCGAGATTTTTTGGTAAGGGTTCGAGGGCTCTCTGAGCTTGAGGGCCCCGGGGCACTGCCCCGACTAACGCCTAGTAAGATAATTACCATTTCTTCGTTTCGCCTAATCATTTCTAATTGTTGTTCCCTCGCAATGGCCTGTCTCACCGCGGGCGGCGGCCGGGCTCGCTCTTCATTACCTAAAACCACAAATTATTCATTATTTTTGTTACCTAAAACCACAAATTATTGATTGTTTTTGTTTGTGGCCTTGAATAATCTCAAGACAATTCACACAGCACCATATGGGTCTATATGTGCTGTGTGTTAAACTAGCTTAAACTGGTGTTATGGGTACTAGATAACTGATACAAATACATAGATTTTCTTTTTCATAAATACATACATACCCATAAACGCCCAGGCTGATACAAATAATCATGAATACAAAATGTTTTGTGAAGTTAGGCGGCGTGCTAAACCGCTAGACAACTGAAGCCGTCAAATTTTATTTTAAAGTTTATTTAATTTACATCAAAGACATCTATCTTAAATATTAAGTTAACATTGAAAAAAGCCGTACAGCCTGGAAAAAGTACTTCGGCCTCATCTATTGTAGCCGCCATGCATTTACCATACATATTTTTTTATTGATAATAGAGGAATAGTGCACTCGTCTATTGGTAAATTCTGCAGGGCACCAGACGAGAATGATAGGATGAACGTGAGTTCAGGTTAGTTAGTCCATCGTGACAAATTCACCAATAACTTATTAGAAAGTTTCCAGGCGGAACCGGGTGGAGATAAACCTTACATTGTAAGCAATGGGGGCACTAGTCCACGACAATCCATTTGCCACGCCAGGGTTGTGTTTGGATATCGTTGGCTCATAGCTCATAGTGGTAAATTCATCAAGAATTTATCACGATGGTTTCCAACCGTATGGAGGTCAACCAGGCATGGTAAATTGTTAGCAATACGGTAATCAGTCCACATTACTAACAATTACTTTCCCTCCGGTACGATATATATTTAAATTATAAAAATTTACAGCCCGCTTAAGTATTTTACGGTCCTTCGGTAGGTACGTCCTTAGCTCAGGTCCCTACAGCTTGTTTGCTATCCTAGTTATATAAAGACTAACAGACCGCAAACGTTGTTTCGCCCTTAAAATCGCTATTAAAAAATTGGGGTTGATGGTAGGAGCGTAAAAATTAGGGGTTTTTATGAAATTTTATATGCATATTCAGTAGGTCTAAGAATCGGCTACTATATATTTTTCATACCCCTAAGTGATAAGGGTTCTTAACCTCTAAGTTCTCAGACCTACTGAATATGCATATAAAATTTCATAAAAATTGGTCAAATTACCAACGGTAACTAACAATGTGACTTTCGGAATTTTCTCGTGGTCACCCTAACCAAAGGAACATTTCTCCCATACATTGTCTCAACCCACCGACGCTTTTTCTGGGAGAACAACTATGTCAATCAGTGAGTGAGTCACCGCAATGCAGCTTTATAGAAGTTTCACAGATAGATATTATAGAAGTTTCATGAAAGAAGGTGTGTGTTACCAAAGAATGCGATCTTGTATATGTCTGGTTCGATGTCCAGCATGAACAGTCCTGCGGGCTGGCGGCGCGGCGCCAGTTGCAGGCCGTAGTCGCACATGGCGGACGCACACGCACTCAACGAACGACGCTCGCTCTCACTGCACAACTGTTCGAATCAAAAATCATTTATCCATGTAAGGACTATACAAAAAACTTGACGTTCATAAGCGGCTAGCTTATGAACAACAAGTTTTATGTATTTTTTTTTCCAGCATGAAACTCGTCAGAACTTCTTTTTTTAAAGCCAGTTTATTTACATTGTGTATGTACATAGGTGTATATGTCTGACATTAAATGAAAATCCCGCGCTTCATAATCTTGGACCCTCAGGGATCCATGAACCACAGGTCAATGAACACTGGTCTATTACAACGCTCCATCACCTAGAAAATCTAGTACTTGGAATTGTGCGTACTATTCGTACCGCATATATCACGGTGACTGTTCTGAGGAATTGTTCGAATTAATACCAGCTGCTATGTTTCACCTTAGACCACCCGTCCGAAACTAAAATACCACCCTGATCATCTGGATGAATGGCGGTCCTCCACAATCCGGTTTTCTAGAAAATTTTTGCCACCCACAACCACATTGTAGAATCACCTTCCAACAATAGTATTTCCGAATCGCTACGATATTGAAACTTTTAAGAAAAGAGCTTATTCCTTCTTAAAACTCCGGCAACGCTCTTGCAATTCGCCTGATGTTGTGGGTGCACATGGGCGGCGCTAATCACTGTCTGTCACCTGTTCTATAAAAAAAATTATACTCACTTGTACATTAGCGGATCGTAAAGAGGGCGACAGAAGATACGGCAACAATGGCAGTAAGTCCAATTGTAGAGATTTCCGACTGAGGGCGACAGAGGGCGCACAACCGCTGTATATTGAATGTACTATACTCTCCAACTCTTGTCTTTTTCTATACATCTGTAAATTAAAAATGTTTTTTTATTGGGGGTTTCGGCTATTATTTGTTGCTTGGACAGATCCAAGCAACAAACAATACGAAACCAGCAATGTGATCTTATGTAGGTCTATTGTATCTATTGTGCTCCCCCTTTTTTCAGAGTTAGCTACCTAGATACGTCAGGGACCAGAATTGAAGGATATTCTTCGGAACTATGTTTTTATCTCTTCATGATAATGTTGCCATATTTAAAGGAATATTTTGTTTATACATGAATGAACAATGAGTGTGTGGTTAATCATTTCAAACTACAAAATAATATTATTTCTATTTTCAAATAAATTAAAAAAATAAACTAGTGTTATGTAACTACAATCAGTTATTTGACAGCTTATTACAAAGCGAAACTTGGCCCTCAATGGAGCCATTAGTGCCAACACGTCGTCGTCAACGTCGCGAGCGTCGGTCGTCATTTTGTTCGTCCAGTAATTCGGCGTCGTAACCGCAGCCAGAGCACGAGTGTCTTTTTTTGCCACCACACTGTTTTGTCCATTGTTTTTGATAATTTTTTCTCTGTTGTGTTTGTTGTAATAGTCCACTAATCTGCAGAATTAATTCGTACCAATGTAGTTGAGTTGGATGGATGGAAATGGATCCTCAACCATGCATGTCAAGATAGCTGTACAGAAGAAGAGACACACGCTTTAGACACCAAATAATGATAGAAAACACAAACACGTATTTGAGGAGAAATTGATTATTAATATGGCTAGTAAAAAAATAATGGTATGTAAAAACATAACTTATAAGATATGGAGCCATATCTTCGTCTAAAATACAAAAAAATGAACAATTTCAGTCTCTGGAAAACGTGGACCAAAACACTGTTTCATAAATTATTGTCAATTTTTCAGACAGATTTTATAATATAATGTCACCGAAAGCAACAATGATTTTTATTGATGATGAATAAAAACAAATTTTGTAATAAGCACAAGTTTTTTTATTTTTATTACCTAACTATATTATGTTAGATATTTTATACATCTATAGTTTTAACTACATGATGTATTGTAAATAACTCATTAAAAGTTTCTCGCAATTTTTTTCTTCATGTTTCAAAAATAAGTATTCATTATAGGTATAAAAAAAAGGAACATAGTTGTCGAAAACTTGTTGGTATGTAAATACAGCTTTCTTGTCGAAAACTATGGATAGACTTTCCAACACTTTTCACTAGATAGACAATTGTCAATTCCATTAATTCAGGATTTTTTTCAATTATTCACTTTGTCACAACACTATTTTTATTTTATCAAATACACAACACAGTAAACGTCATTGACTTCGGCTGCCTTAAAAATACGACTATATGTTTATCTCTTCATGATAGAGTGCAAACTTTCCAAAGGAGATATTTCGTTTATACATGAATAAGCTACCACATAGGATGTGTGGTTTCCTCTGTAGTGGCATTACCTCTTCATGTTCTTTTTATTTAAGTATTTATTATCGACGGTATTAGTATTTATTATTGTGCTAAACTACTATAACATATCGTCAAATAAATTAAAAAAAAATGAAACAATTGTTGCTATAAATTTCTTGGACATCACAAATGCATCTGGCGATACATTATTTTCAATAATAGATATAACGAGTGTTTTGCGTATATTTTCCATGTATTGACGGCGTCGTGTACAGGCCAAAGTAAACTTACCAGCATCCGACCGTCCACTCGACTCAATACATAGTTCTCGAAGATTCCATCCACTAATCTGCAGAATTAATTAGATTTTGTAGTTGAGTTGGTCCACTAAACTCTAAAATTAATTAGAGATAGCTGTACAGTAGAAGATGACACACGCAGACACCAAATAATGCGATAGAAACATAAAAAATAACTTATATTAAAATAATAAAATAACTGAGTACTAGCTAAAAACTCTACTAGTACATTTATTATGTTATTATTTTATAATATAATTAAAACCTTTTCTTATTGGGATATAATGAATTGTCTTTTCTCATACACATTGCACAACTCTGCCTAAGCAAAAATAAAATGTTCTATTTTTTCATTATGAGCTTTTCCATTCTTGTCTAAACTTCTATAACTCATTAATGGCTAGATATTTTGCTACAGTTAAAAAATAAGCCTATGATTATAGAATAAAAAAAATAAGACCTTGATAAAAGTTTTACATGCAAATACAGCTTTCTTGTCGTTATAAACTATGGATATACTTTCCAACACTTTGGGGGATGAAAAAGCCAATCACAAGTAAGCATGGTACAAAGCAATCAATCATGATTAACAATACATTACCTATCATATTCCCCGGCTGCCTGGATCGTCTTCATAATTTCTGCTGGATTCTGATCGTTGACTGTAAACACCGCCTGTAGAGCCTGCATTAGACTCTTGTGACAATCTTTTGTCCCTATTGCTGCATTTTCCACATCCTCCATTTTAAGCTGTAAATAAAATAAGATAATAATGAACAATTGTTGCTATAAATTTCTTACATCACAAATGCTTTTCTAATTATTTTCAATTATTTTCAGTAGAACATTTGTTTGGATGTGTTTTATGTACAGGCAAATAAACTTAAAGACGTTTTAGCATTTATGTATTTAAATATTAAATACCAAAAATGTGCTTTTTTCCACCACTGCCTTTCAAACGCTGTTTTTATCTGATGATTAGCTGTTAGAGACATATGGCATTAAGTACAGATTAATTATGTACAAATAATTTAAATAAAAAATAACTTATATTAAACCAACAAGACACAATTATACAAACCCGCTACCATCTGAAGTAATATATATAAACAACTCTTTGCCACCGTTTCCGTCATATAACTTCAGTTTTCTTTGTTTTGGTTAATATAAATTTAAAAGGTTTGTCATTTTTATTAGGCTAACGTAATCTAAGTAACGTCATATCATATATATACTGGAATTACATAAACTCGGTGGAGAGCGTCGATTTCCACAACACAATTTTGTATACTACTGTAAATGTCATTGTTTCTTCAAAATTTTCGTACACATATTTCTGTTTCAAATAAATAATATATACATATAAATAAAATTGGAGTGTCTGTTTGTAATATTGAAATAACCGTTTTTACTACATGCATATGAATACGGTACATACAGCAAAATAACATTTGTTACAATATTTATCTGTCCGTTTGTTCCGGTTAATCTCTGAAATGGCTGAACCTATTTTGACGGTACTATTTTTGGCAGGTAGCTGATGTAATAAGGACTTAAGCTATTTTTATTTTAGAAAAATAAGGTTATTTCAACACGGACAAAGACGCGGGAATAGGTAGTACATAATAAATATAATTAATAAGGTACCTGTCTGGCCGCGGCGCCGGCGCGAGCGTGTACGAGTGCGAGGAGATGCACGGCGGCACGTAAGTCGCCCGCAGCTCGCGTCGCGAGCGCGGCGAGCGTGCGGGGCGCCGCCGACACGCCCTCGCCCGCGGCCATCCGGGACAACCTCCGGACCACGCGCTCGCAAGTCGCCCCACCCACTTGTATCACCAGCGCTACTGCCCTGTGTGAACGGTTCACTACTTCACCACGCTTGTTTTATGCAATACTACTTGTGCCCGCGCAACTTCGTCTGTTACACATTTACCCAATTTACATAATATCTTTTTGAATGCCCATGTGTTATTCTGATGTATGAGCTACATTACTGTAAAGTTTCATTAAAATCCATTTAGTAGTTTTTGCGTGATATAGTAATAAACATCCATCCATCCATACTCACAAACTTCCACATTTATAATATTAGTACACCAGACCACGTGCTCACAAGTAGCCCAACCCACTTTTATCACCAACGATGCTGACCTGTGAACTGTTCTCTATTTCATCACATTTGTTTTATGTAATACTAGCTGTGCCCGCGGTGTCACCTACATGAAATTTGTATTCTATGTGTTATTCTGATGTATGAGCTACATTACTGTAAAATTTCATTAAAATCCATTCCGTAGTTTTTGCGAGTTACCGCGCATACCTTCCGCGTTTATAATATTAGTAATCAGGACCAACCAAAAGAACTTAGCTTAACTTTTTAATGTGTAGTCCAAAATAATATTCAAAATGATATTGAATTTGAAAACATTTATTTGTTTAGTGTACACTAAACAAAAATCATACCCATTAGCATGCCTTTAGAGAGACTTTAATCTATATTTTATTTCTGTTCTGCATTGTAACTAATGATGACAAGAAAATATATCAATAATCTTGAATTGTAAAACTTGTGCGAATATTAATAAATATATATACAATAATATTTAATATAGATATATAAAGATACATACCTTAGTGGCCTTAGCGACGTGGCATACAAGTCATTGCATATAGCTATAACAGGTCTGCGCAAAGGATGGGTCCTTGCTTTCTTCTTGCCTTCAGCCACAGACGCCGTACACCACTTGACCAGCAATTCTACTGTGGGCAGTGGTGCGCCGTCGATTTCATCTGTAATTATATGCAGGTTATGATTTAAAAATGACCTACTAATATGTAACGATTGGCGGGAAGGGAGATTATGTTATAATGGTTATATAGATTAATAACCGCATTGCTAGCAATGTACCATGACATGTTGACCTCCACGCGATGCCTGGAAGCCATCATGATAAATTCGTGGTGAATTTGCCACGATGAGCTAACTGACCAGACCTCATACTCATTTTATCATCGTCCACTGATGCCCCGCAAGCGTATACAATGCACCATTCCAATTAATCTTTGAAAAAAAAAAACCATTTACATCATGTTCTATATATGCTTATGTACTACTTAGCATTTATGGGCCATGCATTACGATTACATATTACAATTAGAGGGTACGTGTAAAGGTAGGCAAAGACTGGTTTCCTACCTAGTATAAGACAATTAGGTCTTCTGTCCTTGTCAAGCACGGAGCGCATGAGTGTGGCCGCCTGCAGCGCGCCTCGGAACGCTTCCACGCTGCGTTCGTCTGACGCGTTCAACTCCACTGCCCGGTATCCTGACACAAACATATTAGGTTGATCTTAAGTCTCCGCTGTCCCCGGGGGGAAAAGTAGTGTTAGTAAAGTAGACCGTTCATCACAAAATTCACAATTAAACATAAATTTTAAAATTCACCAACCAACTCAACACAAACAAAAAAAACAGTTCATAAATAAATAAAACCCCAACATTATCTGCAGAAGCGAGAGTATACCGTAGGCGCAAATACGGAAGCATAAAAAGAAAATCAAAATTTCTCACTTTAATGAAAAAAAATTTACTATTGTTAGCAATGTACTAAGTTGGTTAGTTCATCTAGACTCATCCATCAGACTAGTGAACAGGTGCTGCTTAGAGGGACTGCTCTGTTCGGGTTCCAAACACTGATTAGACTATTTCCTTTTGACAAAATTGTTCTAGCGATTTAGCACATCGCATTTCTTCCGACGGTCGTGGGTTCGCTTCGGATAATTCCTCGGTGGAGGAACATTTGTATTAATAAGCATGATAGTTTGTTTCACAAAAAATATATTTAATTATTTTTATCAGTTGTCTAACACCTATAACACAAGCTCTGCTAAATTTGGGACTAGAAGACCCCTCTGTGAGGAGTCCTGGATTATTATTATTGATACCATGAATACCACACGCATAAAAACGCTGGAATAGCTTCTCAATTATAATGTTTCAGATCCAAATTACCCATAGAAATCTTAGTAAATTTTGATAGTAATAAGTCACATTTAACAGAAAAAAACTTACCAGATATTTTAGCTAGTAAGTGTGCAAGTGTAGTCTTCCCCACACCTGGTGGACCACACAGCAGCGCCACTTTGTGATGTGGTCTACCATCTTCATCAATCTCTGGTTCCGCTTCTTTTTTGCCTTTCCACTTATTTGTCAATTGAAACTGACCGGTACGCTTGCTGAAACTATTTCGTTGTTGTGGCTCTGAGATCTTCACCTCTTTTTTAAACACTACCTGAAAAACATAGGTAGACTTTGTAAAAATAATAAAAAAACTTTGTTGTCTGTGTGGGTAACGCCGACCAACAAATTCAAGCTGCCAAGCAACTTTGTAGTTTGAGTTTAAGTTTGTTTGAGTTATCTAGTTCTTAGATTTATATCAGTCAATAATAAGAATACAAGTATTTTGAACAGATTTGCAGTGAAATTATAGAATAATATGCATGGCATCTTTAAGTTTTAACACATTACCTGACTAATTCTCACCCAAATGCCCTTTTGTAGTCAATTATACTGATTCCAATTAATTTGGTATGTCATAACATTAAACAGCAGTTAAATGTTTAAGCTTTTGTGGTGTAGCGGTGGCACACACTATCTTACATCCGATAGTCGCAGGTTCGATATCTCGCACGACATACATGAATTCACAAGTTACATTGTTTGTATTGATCTGGTTGTTTTCTATATATATATTTTAAAATATTTTTAATTATTTCTTACAGTTGTTTAGTACCCATAACAAAAGCTCAGCTTAGCATGGTATTAGATAGTATGGTGTGAATTATACTGGGTTATTATTATTATAATAAAGTAATGTGTAGTCAAACCTTGTCCCATAAATGTAGCCAGTGTAACAACGCCCTGTTGACTGGCTCTTCTGATAACAAATCCAAATATGACTGTGGGCGATACTTCTCCAGCCATAGATTATTGTTAGCGTCAGTTTCTATAACTTGAACAGGATCTTCTGACTCTTGAGGTGGCTGACTGAGTTTGTCTTCTAACTAAAAAAATTAAGCCATTTTAACTAATAACTAAATATAATAAACATTTGTATAAATAATTAATAAGAGCTTTTTATTCTTCTTAGAGAAATTTATTGTATATTAAACACAGATACGTAAAGTGTAATAAAATAGGAAACAAAATTTTATACAGTAAAACTTCAATTATTTTGTTGACACTAGCAATATATTATTCACATTCTTTATTTGAGGTGGTTGATGCAATACAATTCCGTACATACTGTTATGTATGTAAACTATGGGTAGTTTGATTATTATTTGTAAATTGATTTATGTGAGGGTACTTATGTAATTATGATGAATATTAAATAGTTTTGCTTCCAATCTCAACCAAGTTGTATCTTTTAATGGCGACTGAGGAAAATAAATGTAATTTTGCGAAAATGATGTCAAATATTAATAATATAGTGCTTCCGGGACATTTTAATCCAAAAACAGACAAATGGAGTGACTATAAAGAACAATTACTGTGTGCTCTCGATGCCGCTGGCTATGGTGAACAGAACATTGATAAAGCTCGTTCATTGTTTTTATCTCAATGTGGAAAAGAGACTTATGGTTTAATTGTATCCTTATTAGTGCCACATCGACCAACTGAAGTGGAATTTTCGCAAATTTTGCAAGTTTTGGACAAATTTTATGAACCGGAAATTAATGAAATTTTACAAACGGAAAAATTTCATAAACGTCATCAATTACAAAGTGAAAGTATTCAGGACTTTGTAGCAGCTGTAAGTTTATTAGCTGTGAAGTGCAACTTTTCGGACTTACAACGTCAGTTGAGGGACAGGCTCGTATTAGGGGTGAATGATGTGCGCTTGAAAAGGGAATTATTGAGAACAAAGGATCTTACTTATGAAAGTGCTCTTCAGTTGTGTCTCAACTATCAAGCCACATGTTTGGATTTATACCCCGATACCAAGGTGCAGAAGCAAACTCCATTCCATGTTTCGGAACCTATGGAAATTGGTAGGATAAAATCGAATGACTGTCGACATTGTGGAAAATTACACAAAACTGGCGAACGATGTCCTTTTGCTAAAGCAAGGTGTTACTTCTGTAAGCGTTATGGACACATTGCTTCTGCGTGTGCAAAGAGACTGGCAAAAGTACACCAGACTACAGAATGTGGTGAGGGAAGCTTAAAATCCTTGCCCGAAGAGATGTTGGGTGTGTATAATTGTGGGGAGAATAACCTCCCAGTAATTAAAGCAGAGGTGAGGATAGATGGAGTGAATCTTTCTATGGAAATAGATTCTGGAGCTTCAAGAACAATAATATCAGAAGAAACTTACCACAAATTATGGGTTACACCACCCCCACTAATTCCTACCAACATAAAATTGGTGACATGGACGCGTGAACCACTGAAGGTGTTAGGACTGGCTAACGTTCGAGCTAGTCTTGGTGGCAAAGAGGCACAATGTGAGCTGTTGGTGATAACAGGCAAAGGGCCAAGTTTATTAGGAAGGAATTGGTTCAAGCCTCTGGCGATACATATTTCTGGATTGTGCTGGACCTATGATGAATTAACATCCCTCACAAATAAATTTCCAAATTTATTCAAAAATGATTTAGGTGAATATACTGGTCCAGAGGTTTCTTTGCATGTACGGCCTGAGATGCCACCAAAATATTTCAAAGCTCGACCAGTGCCATTTCCACTCAAGCAACAGGTGGAAACTACTTTAATACAAATGATTGATGATGGCGTTTTGACACCAGTGAAGTATTCAAAATGGGCCACACCTATTAGAGTTGTTAAAAAAGAGGATGGCAGCTTACGCATATGTGGGGATTATCGTGCCACAGTTAATGTTTCTATAAATACAGACACATACCCACTGCCCACATCAGCCGAAGCTTTTGCAAAGTTAAGTGGAGGACGGGTATTTAGTAAACTTGACCTGAAGCAAGCATATACACAGGTGAAAGTGGATAAAGAGACAGCTAATCTATTAACACTAAATACCCACATGGGATTAATGAGGATGAACCGTTTGGCATTTGGTGTGAGTGCAGCACCAGCTATTTTCCAGCGTTTAATGTCAACAGCATTTGCTAACATGGAAGGAGTAGCATGTTTACTCGATGACATTGCTGTCTGTGGAAAAAATATGGAGGAACATAATGGAAGATTATGTATGGTATTGGGTAAACTGGATTCTATGGGATTTCGCCTTAATTTAAAAAAATGTGTCTTTGCATCAGACAGCATAACCTTTTTAGGACACATGATTGATGGCGAAGGACTACATCCATCTCCATTAAAAGTTAAGGAGATAAAAGAGAAACCTGCACCCCAGAATAAGGTATCATTAAGGGCATTTTTGGGCCTGTACAATTTTTATGAAAAATTCTTGCCTGACAAGGCAACTATTCTGGAACCATTGTACAGACTATTGGACTCAAAACAACCCTGGATGTGGAGTGTTGTAGAACAAGTGGCCTTTGACAAAGCAAAAAGTCTTCTATCATCGGATTTGACATTAGTTGGATATGAATTAAACAGAACATTGCTGTTAATTTGTGACTCTTCTGAATATGGTCTAGGAGCTGTGATGGTTCATGTAATGGATGATGGGTCAGAACGACCAATTATGATGGCTTCTCGAACTCTTCAGCCACATGAGCGGCGCTATGGACAAATTGATAAGGAGGCTCTTGCTATTATATTTGGTATCACAAAATTTCATGAGTATCTGGCTGGTCGTAAATTTGATATTATTACAGACCATAAGCCGCTTGTTGGTCTTTTCAATCCTGTAAAACCCATTCCTGACCAAATATCACCAAGAATGTTAAGGTGGTCACTGAAACTGGGTTGTTATAATTACAATATTAAATATAGACCAGGAAAATTAGTTGGGAATGCAGACTCCCTTAGTAGATGGACAATGCCAAATACATCCGCACTAAAAGAAGAAGACCTGAGAGAAGTGCTACTGCTGGATGAGCAGCCAGAGGGGTGGGACCTTGACGTGACACGAATTGCTGGAGAAACCAAGAAAGATACAATTCTACAGAAGGCTATGTTTCATATACTTCATGGCTGGCCCCGTTCATGTCCAGATCCAGATTTGGAGCCATTTTGGTCTCGTAGAGAGGCTCTTTCACTTAGTAAGGGATGTTTACTATGGAGCAACAGAGTCATTATACCCAAAGCACTACAGAGTAAAGTTTTGGATTTATTACATGCCCCACATGCTGGGGTGGTTCAGACCAAATCCTATGCTAGAGGATATGTTTGGTGGCATGATATGGATCGACACATCGAGAGAGTTGTGTCAGAGTGTGTACATTGTCAGCAAGTCAGAAATAACCCACCGAAAGACCCACAGACATGGATACCTTCTGAAAAACCATGGGGTCGAGTGCATATAGATTTTGCAGGACCCTTCCAAGGAAAAACATTTCTGGTATTGGTGGATAGTTACAGCAAGTGGTTTGAAGCAGAGATTGTTCCATCAATGAGCAGTGAAACAGTTATAAGTGTGCTAAGGAAGATTTTCGCAGCACAAGGATTGCCAGAGATTTTGGTATCTGATAATGGCAGGGCTTTTACCTCAGATGAATTTAATTCTTTTCTTCAGAGGAATGGCATTAAGCACAAATACTCACCTCCATATCATCCAGCCACGAATGGACATATTGAACGGGCTATACAGACTTTTAAAAATAAACTTAAGAAGTTGACATATGCCAATTCTAATATAACTTGGTCAGAGAAGCTTTCAAAAACATTATATCATTTACGCACTGTACCAAATAGCACAAATAAGACACCAGCAGAAATTCTAAATGGTCGTCGATACAGAACTGCTATTTCTAATTTACACCCGAGTTGTGTACCAGATGATGCCCAGAATCAACTCGAGGCAGCAGCAAACCGGGTCCCAAATAGAATCTTTAAAAAGAATCAGGCAGTATTAATCCGTGTATATGAGTCAGGACAAAAATGGCTCAGAGCTACCATTGTGGATATAGAGGGTCCAAGTACATATAGGGTGAGAACAGAGGATGGAGAAATACATAGGCGCCACGCAGATCAGATCTTAGCTCGGGGTAGTAAAGATTGCAATGGCTTTCAACGCAGACCATCCTGGGATCAACCAGATGATACTGAACCAGATGAGTCACCGGAAGTATTAATACCAGACCCTGATTTGTGGCCAGAGATAATTGGTGTGCCTTAAGTAAATTTGTGTAGTGGGCATAGTATGTCATGCAACTGTGAGTGTATGAAAACAATGTATAAAAGTATGTAATTCAATTGATGAATCTATTTAGTATGTAAATTGAGACTTAAAGATTATAAGGGTGAGATATGTTATGTATGTAAACTATGGGTAGTTTGATTATTATTTGTAAATTGATTTATGTGAGGGTACTTATGTAATTATGATGAATATTAAATAGTTTTGCTTCCAATCTCAACCAAGTTGTATCTTTTACATACAATTAGGAAAATCAACATTTTTATTGATTTTCCTATATTTGGGTTGTGTTTCAACCATCATGATGTGAAGGTAGACAAGGCTTTACAACTACCCGGCTGCTCTTAGGTTTAACCGTGATCTTGGCAGTTGAAACAATGCCAAAATAACAATAAAAAATAAATAAAAGAAGATCCCATTAATTGTTTCTTATTGTACATATAAATAATTCAAGAAATTAAAACAACAACTTCTGTTTATTTTCTAAAATGATGTAAAAGATGTAGTAATAACACAAAAATATGAAAAATTCTTACAAGTTTGCGAGCTTCTTCCCAAGCTTTAGCAAATGTTGAATGTAATGATGTCTGATTAGATGTATCTAATGATTTCTCCCATGATTCCTCAGATTCTAACTTCACATAAATTCGTTCACCATCGGAATTTGTAAGGGGCATGAAAGGCCACCTGGAAAGTTTAAATTGAAAAATAAATAAGTGTAGCATGTAGCATAAGTAGTATAAAAGTGTTAATAACAAGTTATTACTATCTAATATATTATTTTTTATAATAAAATTTGAATGGCAAACAATAATAACATATAATAACTATAATAAATAAAATAAACTAAACTAAAGTATAATATTATATCACACAGAATAATACAACATTAGTTAGTATAAACAAGATGTTTTCTAAAATTAACCTTGGTATATCCCGAGACAAATTTTCTTTGGATATATAAGTAAGTTCTACATCACTCTTCCCTCTCGAAGGTTCCAATAGCCTTTGCTTAAGTTTCCTACTTTCTATGATCTTATTTATTAATTCCAAGTCATTCTCTTCTTCTGTCTTCTGCCTTTTGTTCGGCAATTCTATATCTTCAAAATCTATATCATTTATGTCACCAAAAAGTTCATCAGCAGTTCTTTTACTTGGTGCATTGTTTGGTGTCAAATATTCTTCTAATGGCTGTAGGCTCTGACTGGTAGGTTGACTGTCATTTAATGTTATATCACTGTTTTCTTTTGTGAATTGAGTTTTATTTGTTACAGGACTGGAAAAGTCAAGGCTCCTCTTGGCTGGTAATGGTTTCCTTTTCACATTTGAATCTGTGGATTGTTTTTAATAGATACTGATTAATAGTACTTATATTCATAACTATACAGTAAGACCCTGCTTATTGTTGTTTCGTAAACGAAACAACATTAAGCAGGCTCCTTTATTTCAAACCCAACCTGTCAATTCAATTTTGTGTTTATTAAATTTAATACTTAACCCAATTTTTTTAACATTAAAATAGCCTCATTTAACAGTTTCGCTTAGTGCTGTACATTTAATCTCAGGACTAGTCGAAGTACTGAAGTTTATTGTAAATGCTATTGATTTTTCTTAATGCATAATCTCTACTGAGTGGATATTGACTTGTTATTATTTAATTGTTATAAATATGGATTCTGTATATATAATCAATATATGGATTAAAAAACTACTCTGTACAAATGGTTACAGATCATATTTGAAATAATATGATTGCATATATTAAATTAATCTATACCAATTCATTTAGTATGTTTAAATGTCAATATTTAATATAAGATTAAAAGCTTTTCAATAAATGCATATGAAAGTATACAAGGTACAACAATTTATTTGTAAAAAATTGTCTGTTGTTACTACTACTCACTGAAACGGCTAGACTAATTTTGACAAATCTTTCGCTCACATATATTTAAAGTTAGAAGGAATCACTTACACTACTTTTAGGATTAAAAAATATTTATTTTACTAATTTGGATATTTCATATTTTTAAACATGTAACTTTTCATTTAACATTCTACATTTAAAAAAAGGAATAATATTATTTCCATAATTGTTCAATCTGAACTTGAATAGCATTAATGAACATTTCAGCTACTAGAAAATTCAGTCCTAAACTAAAGTAAGTGTAAATAAATCTGAATGCTAAACAACTGAGAGGTACAGGCAAACAAAACCTTGTCAGTCCAATCAGCTGTTCTTTATATTTTAGAATATAATAATCATAAGATTTCTAAGAGGAGATATTAGGAGACAGAAGTCAAGTTAGAATTAATAATCTAGCATTCAAAAAGAGAAAATGTGTATTTACTATTTATATAAATATTGAAGCATGCCTCACCATTAGGTTCGTCAACATCTCGTAGTAACTCCAATTCATCAGCGTACATAAGTTCATATTCTTCATCAGGGTCAGGAAAATCAGACATTTTAATCAGAAAATTGTTTACAAAAAGGTAAATTGATATTTTGTAGAGGTTATCAAGATTTCCACTAATAAAGTTTTCAATATTATTAATAACAATATAAAAGATGTGACTATTTTTATTTTACCATTTTTTTATTGTGTAAAGAGATTAAAGTAACCAGATATTTGTAAATAAAATGAACAAAAACAAAAATTCGCGGGAAAAACAAAAAGAAAAGCCGACAAAAATGACCAAAACAAACCAAAAATGAAATCACAGATTATATATCATATACACAGATAAGAAATACATGAATAAAATGTCAATGTATAAATGACAAGAGCAGATAATTTTTTTTTCTCTTGATTTGATTTTACATTCACTCCGTTTTTATGGTATTTCGCCATGAGCAGATAATGGCAGTAAAGATTAATTCGTAACTGAGAACAACAATTAAACAAGAATTCAAAGAATGCTCTTTCTTTCACGACTTTGGATGAAAGGCAAGTCACGAAGAGTACATATACTACTATATATTGTATATTATCTCTCGAATTAGTGATTACTCTTTTGATAGTCAAATACTAGTTTTTTTTTTTAGAAATTTAATTTATGTTTTGTTAGTTTCATTTTGCTAAGTACCCAAATATAGCCATAGTCTAGTTTAATAATCCAGGAGCCCAATGTTGCCAGGATTTTCAATTTTTTAAATAGGCTTGTAGCACTATTGGAAATTAATATTAATTGCCCATTTTTATAGGTTATTCAGAAATAATGTGTTGGTGTTTGTTTAAAACGCATTAATATAAAATTAATAAATTAGATATAGCTAATAAAAAATATATGGTTGTTATATCAGAATGGATTTTATTATTTAAACTAAAATAAACCCTTTTTTTTAAAAACAAATGATCTTTTCATAGTGTCATATATCATCAAACACCTATTTTAAACATTTAGCTATTTGAAAGAAAAAAATGTTGCTTTGTAACTTAATACTGTAAAAAATACTATTTGTACAGAAGCGACAAAAATGTAATTTTATACTGTAAAATACGACAATAATACAGTAATGGAAACACTAGTTTAGGTATGTAATTTTAAAAAACTGTTGTGGAAACGTCATTTAACGCTTTAAAAATATTATATTAAAATAAAAGTTTCCGATTAAACAAATCGGTATCGCAGGTATACCACTATCCCGCTGTTGGTGGTGACATTATTTGAAATCAAATTTCTAATTTATGTAGGTACATCTGTCTATTTAGTCACCGGGATTAAAAAAAAAACAGACTATAGGTACATAGATTATCTATAGAATCCGGTCGAAAGATCTTTGCCTATTCCATCATTGAAAAGGAGATGGACGAATATGGGAAAAAAACTATAGAATCCCTGCGAGGTATAGAATGGATCTGCCAGGGTCTCTCAGATTAATTTGATTTATTAGCTTGTTTGCCCTTCTAGTTACATAAAGAAACCGGACAGTCCATCTGAAATACATATACCTACTTTAAAACCACAGGACACCGAGGAACTACCATTTTCCTGTTTTATTTAATTAAATAACTAGGTACAATCTTTTTTAGATAGGTAGATACTATTTGTAACTAATTAAAGAGCGAGTTCGTGTTTGGTAGTAATAATTATTAAAATACAGTTGAAACAATGAATATTCGCACAGGTTAATCGTGCAGGTATTTGTAAATAAAACTACGAACTTATATATACGAAAGTTTTTTTTAATAATTGGGTATATTTACAATAGATTACTTAACAAACGTGAGTTACATGGATAATGTATTGTAGAATAGGTATCTGACCGGTAATACCTTTATTAATGTTACGATGCACATTCACACACAATATCGAAGTAGACACATGTGGTACTCACAAGTACCCACAGCACATATAAACATAGTACGTAAATTGGAATGTTTAATTTAAAAAAAATTGGTAAATAAATATATAAAAAATTAACAACGTGAATCATAAAGAAAATAGTAACTACTAATATATAGGAATTATTCACAAATAAAACGATTTAAATTAGATACAATCCTTACATGGCAGGTATTCGATACAGACGGCATCAATATCGTGTAAAATATCAATTAAATTCAACTTATAATATCAGAAATCAAATTATTGCCTATTTGACTTTAAACCACATTTAAATTGCCTATAAACATTACAACATTTCACTGAAAAATAAATAATAAACACTTAATCATAAACAATAGTATCACAAAATTCACAAACACAAATTCTAATGTACAATAAACATCACAGACATCTACTTTCACCTAATCATTAGTGACTTGGAACAGTTTAATGAGATTTCTTTATATTATTAAATACTTACAATTTACCACCCTCATGACATTCACTCGACTAAACAACTTGACTTACAAGGACACTCGGTACGATGCCTAGACTACCTATGCATAATGTAGATTGTTTTAGTGAAAGCAAAATAGTAATTGTAAAGGTACCTATATAAGACGTACGTTATGACTGTAGTAGATAATTATACTAGCTGTTATATTATAATATGGATAAATCATATTTAATAGGAAAAAAAATTTACGTCGAATAAGAGCGTCTAGAACATTCAATAATAGACTTGCGTAATCACATATTAAGGATAAAATGAGATCATAGTGCTTTCCAACAACTTTTTCTGGTAGAATCTAATTAAAAAGTCATAAACTACATAGAAGTATTACTTATTTACCTCCAAAACTACGCCATTTTAACAATTATATTATTTTTCACAATAGGGATGGACTTCGGTACTACTACATAGGTAATTATAGATCCTATCTTAAATGAAGTTAATCCAAATAGACTGAGTTTTTTTTATTTTATTACTGATATAATAACATGAAATTTATATATGTATCTATCAATAATTTTATATTATTAAATCAGCAATAAAAGTTGGATAACTCTGTTAGATACGTCCAAGCGGTTTCTACTAAGATATTACATTATCTAATATTGGATAATTTTATATTTCAAGTCTTTTTTATTTATAATACAGATTTTTATTATACAGGTATCTATTGTCATAGGCAGCTGATATAAATTGACAGTTGTATACTCGTAAATCAAATAAATTACTAATGAAAAAAAACAGTGACTTTTAATTTGATAGGTATCTAATCAAAGGTTGAAGTTTTGACAATCTACAAATTCAATATTTCACTAGGTAGCTACAAAGTTTTTCTAATGTCACAAAAGATATAAATTTTGTTATTCGCGTAATAAGTACTATTCAGTACTTTTGTAAATATATAAATTGTATGGTAACAATACAATTGAATTTGTAACATTCTAAGGCCATTTGGTTTGGTATTTTCTCCAACAGACCGAGTGCCTGCAATCCATTTTTCTAAACTAAGCTATAGACTTAAAATGTACTATTTTATTCGATATTACTGTACAAAACGCTTAATCATTCGCAAAATTTGACCTATTTGCTATCAATAAGTTCTTCATTGCATCGAATTAAGTTCTCTCGCGCTTTTAGCCCTCCTCTAGTTTTCCCATTACAATACGTACATTTCATTGAAGGTTTTACCAGAATCAATATATCTGATTTTTTTTGCTTTATTGCATCCTCCCGCCTGCCAGATATTTTACTAATATCATCTAACTATATGGCAATACGTTCATTTCACTACAGTTTGACGTAACTCTTAACTTACCAACTAACGCTGTACTAATGGACTAACATACCACTGACAGCAGTGTAAGAAAGTAACGTTACCGACAATTACCTACAAACATAAAAGTGCATCATTAACCAATTTAACGTGGTATGTCCATACCACGGCGTAAATGCTGCACTTCATTTAAGCCAGGTCAGCTCAACCAGTAACCATAAATGGCGAGAGGTATCCACTTACATTCTCTGCCTTATGGCTCGAAATTCAAATTTTAAATATCGAATTATGTAATAATTAATTATAATTTTCTCTATTGATGATTTTATGACTGTTGTCTGAAATTATTAAGTACAAATTAATTAATTTTTTTTAAATTTATCACTTTTTATCTAATATTAGGTAAATGAAGACATTGCGTCAGATGTGCGATGCAATCTGATGCGATATCACAATCGCGGAACTATTTTGCCTTTTATTAGTACTTGTACTCACTTCTCTAACATAACATTATTTTTAATTTTTCTAAAGTGTTGGTCAATCGTCAATTAGTTGTATAATTGAATACATTGAGCAAGTAACTTCGTTACATATATATGGCAGCATCGAATGGTACCTGATCCTTAGAAAACTTATTTATAATTTTACATTTCATTTGTATAATATACCTACATTCATAGATACATATCTTAAGGATCTCTAACATCATACCTTAGGTATGAAATGGTTCGCTGCTAAAATTGAAATAAATAGTTGAATTCTTAAAAAGGAGGTGAATGTGTGATCTTAAAAAAGATTATCATAAGTATTACAAGCCTATAGATGATGTGTGAAAACTATAACATAATACAATGCAAATCATGCCATGTCGAGCCGATGGGCGATGCGAATAGTACTAATTATGAGCACATTGAGATATGACTGTCATCTCAATCTTCAATCATATAGTACATAAAAAAATAAGACTGTTTTTAACATTTTAGGCCAGTAACATTCATTACACTTGTAATTAATGTTACTGGCCTAACATATTTCTTTAGTTTACAATCTTTTTTAAAACGTTCGGCTTTATGGCAGTTTTCAAATTTCGAATTGGAATAGTTTTGAATAACTCACAACATTCGCCGGAGCCAAAAGAAGAGGAAAAAAACTGACAACACAAATATAATATCTTATTTGTATTGTGAGTTATTCAAAACCACGCTAATTCGAAATTTGAAAACTGCTAGTTTATGCCATTTTGTGATAATATACGTATAAATCCCAAAGAAAACGTATTTTTAACGGAAAGAACAGTATAAACTAATACGTAATTAAATTTAAGGCGACTTTTACAACTGTAAATTCTGTTCATTGTAGTTGTAGTGTATTATGTGAGTAGCCTGATGCCATTATGAGTACGGACCCAGTGAGTGTAAATGAAAAATATCAGACTACTCATATTATATACCTACTACACTCAAATACTAGTTTAGCGATTTTTTTGTAATATAAGCAAAACTTACAGATATAAAGTCAGCCTAATACCAGTTGAAAGATACCCTCCAATCTCAATCTACAAAACCATCACGACGGAGCACTGTGTAAAGCAAAATAATCACCGATCACAGACATTTTTGTAAATTTTTTGAAAAGATCCCTCATCTCTCTCATATTAGAATAAGATTTCAGTTCTAATTCTTCAACCCTGATTAAAAAAGTAACTTCAATTCTATCGCATCTCTATGATCGTTTACTATTAAACAAAATAATAAAAAAAATCTTGTATTCTCTAACTTATGTCTTTCTATTTTTCTTATACACATTGCTTTGTCTTGACGTGTCTGATCTTCCAATCTGACATGACCTTTATTTAAATGGAGGACGATTGACCAAGACCTTGAGTATTGAAAAGCCGACATCACACCCGGCTTGGGCGGTCAGTGAGTGCTAGTCTCAGCACGGCCACCTCCGTGTGTCAGGCGGCTGTGATGGCGTGTGGGGGCGGAGGGGCGGGGTGCGCGGGCGCGGGCGGGGGGCTCTCCACCGTCCCGCAGGCCTTCAACTCCGTGAACACTTCAGTAAAGAAACCAGGCTCAGAGTTGATCCTGAGCATATTGAAGGACAATCGATCGACGATCAACAGGCACCGGTCCCAGAATTTGTCTTTAGAGTCTTCGACTAAGAACGGCTTGAGAGGGTAGGAGATCTCGTTGCCCATGTAAGAGTATGAGAGGTAAAGGCAGGTGAGGACAACGGCTTGGAGGTCTTGTGGGCGGGCGATCCGCTCGCCGTCTACCAACTCCCGAACGAGCATGTACACGAACACCACATTTGCTGGGTTTATGAAGGCCACATCCTGAAAAGAGACAATATATGACGTTAGATATTTTATACACAGCACAAACAAAAGGCAGATTTTGTAGAAGACTTGTTTAATTTTTGTATACTTATGTATTTTTTAGATATACTTTACCCAAAAAAAAGAGGATGATAGACTTTGCACAAAAGCCTTCTGCCTCAGTACCTCTGTCTCGCTTATTTAGTTAGCAAGCAGCTTGCTTTGTAAGCTGTATCTTGGTTGTAGGGTGAGATTAGGCAGTGAAATTACGCAACTATGTATATATTATTGCTACTATATTTTAACTGACACCGCATTAGTTGTGCGTCATATGATGTGTTGTCCGCGCTGTTCTACATGTATATAGGCGACAGATTCCATTCATCACTTAGTGTCAGCTTGTTTGCCATTATATTAGACGACCTCGGTGGTTTAGCGGTCTAGCACACTGCTTTACGTCCGTTGGTCGCGGGTTCGATTCCTCGCACGGCACAAACATTTGTATTCATGAGTATGATTGTTTGTATCGGTCTGGGTATTTTCTATGTATAATATGTATACGTATGTATTTACAAAAAAAATGTATCTATGAATTTGTATCAATTGTCTAGTACCCATAACACAAGCTTTAGCTAGCTTATCTTGGGTCTAGATGGCTACACAGCGCCATTTGTCCTGAGATTATTATTATTATTATATATTTACATAACAAATATCTATTTCGTCGCCAAACCTTACAAGTTACTTGGTCTCCGTAGTTCTTAGGAGTAGCAATTAGCAAAACAAGAAGGATAACCGTTGTAATAGGTACTGCTTAGTTGCGAAAATAAGCAATTCTATGAGTCATTATACTATAAAGGTCACTCGTTATTGCAAAGTTTACAAATTATTTTTGGATGAATGCGAGTGAAGCCTTATTTGACTTTTCTCTAGTTGATTTAAACAATAACAGTCCAAACCGTAACAGGTAGAACGTTACAACTCTATAATTTTATTTATTCACAATCATCAAGATTATTATTTACTTTAATTTTATTAATATTATTAAATGCGAAAGTTTGTGAGTACGGATGGATGTTTGTTACTCTTTCACGCAGAAACTACTGACGGCTTGTGATGAAACTTTACAATACACATAACTTTCAAATTTTCTTAGAAATAACGAACGCTGCCAGTATCTTCGGATCTTTGCCTAAAGGGACCCCTTTTAATAATATATTTTAGTTATAGTATTATATAATATTTTTTAAGCTTTTTGATTTTAGGTTCTTAGTTGTACAATTAAGTTATATTAACATTAGATGATTTTATTATTTAGTTATACACATTATATAGCTTATACATCAGAATAACACATAGGCTATAATTTTAAAAGATATTAGTAAATTATGTCATGTAAGTGTGATGCAGATGAAGTAGCGTGGGTCAACGGTTGTGAATAAGTAATATAATTGAAATTGGTGATGGATAATTTGTATCCATTTGTATCTACAAGAATTTAAACTCAATACCCATAGATCAGTGTAGTCCATTAAAATTCGACATGCGTTCCTACGCTAGTGCGCAGACTGAGACACCCTTGCATTAGTTAGGGGAATGAACTTTAATGGACGATGGTGCAATGCGGTGGGGTTGAATCTTGAACTTGTCATGTTGCACAAGCTTGGCCCTCCTAGTTTGCATTTTATATCAAATTCAAAAATGGTATCGTTTAGAATCGATAACTACGTTGTCGATCTACATCGCGTCGTAGTTAATGAATACACTTTTCGTATTTATATTATGTTAATAACTGTAAAATACGTATAAACACGTCCATGGTAGTGTAATACGCCCTTATATCAAGTATAAAGAAATGTATTTTTTATACTGCGTATTCAGGCGCTTGCAACGCGTCTACGAATTTTACGAGTGTAGACGTCTACACACGTAGCAGAGATATCTATTGAAAATATATATATTTTCATTTACGCCATCCATATCATATCAATAAACAAAGTAATATATAATTTATTAAATTATAATTTATTAAAAGGTAACTTTTATTCTAATATTAGATATTCAAGTTTTCAATTCACTTATAAGACTTTTCCCTTCATATCTATGTGGTCGAAAACTTAAATGCATGCAACTAATAACTTCCAAATACGCCTACAATACTATAATAAATCATGTGCTGGATGCATAGTTTAAAAAAATACATGTTATATTCTAAGTGACGCGCCCTTAAGAGTGGATCTTTTACAATCCCAGGTGGCTGCTCGATAAAGGCTTCTAATTATATTGCCGAATTTAGTGATATATTTAGAAAAGGTCATGTCTTCCCACCACGATCAGAAACGATATTATTATCTAAAAGATTTCGTTTTAAAACTGGTCTGGCATTGTAGCAGTGAGTGGTGAAATTACAGTCTACATATATAGTCATGATAATTCAGTTCTCAGACCATGGGTACTAAACACGTCACATAACGACATGAAATCCATAGTATAAAATAAATAGCAAATAGTGCTTTTCATGTGTACGTTTGCGTCTTCAGGTCATGTGAGAAATCAGTATTTTTTAAAATTCCATCTACATAAAATAATGGGCAATTCACACACCACCGCTGCACCGTCTAGTCCCAAGCTAAACAGAGCCTGTGTTATGGATACTAGACAACTGCTGTATGCAACTTAGATACAATTTTTGGCCATGATACACATAGAAAACACTCAGAACAATACAACGGTGTACTAAATTGCTAGAGCACCATTATCTTTCGATTCCCACAAGTTGACTATCATAAAGATTTATTTTATTTTTTAAATTGAACAAAGACCAAAGATCTAGATGCTGCCATGTTCAAAACTTTCACAATAAATTGTCACCAAATATAAAGATAAGAAATATTATTATAGTTCAGTATCTTTGGATATATCCATTATTGGTAATTGTCACGTCTGAGACCAGACAGCGTCGCGACGAGGCAATGACTGAAGAGCATAACGATGTTTTTGAACCTTCAAACTGGAAAGGACAGAGTAAGAATTTCATTACACCCAGTTAATTATAGAATTATGCTTTTTTCTTTTAATATAATTGTTACTGATTTAATAATAATATAATAGATAGCTTTTAGCTCTATTATCCGTTCGCTAACATAATAAAATAGATTTTGGTAATCACAAAATTTATGGAAGAAGAAATAAACCCTCTCGAGGAGAACAAATCATGTTAAAATTAAAAAATATAATGAATTAACTACAAAGCACTTTTTTCTATAATTGAACAAAGACCAAAACTTGCCTGTTGTAAAAATCATAACCATTAGGTACAATAACTTGTTAACAAACGTAAATATTACTTCAGCCTATAGAAAAAATTTAGATAAAGCAGATGATATTGGTAAGGATGAAATGCAGTATATATGTATAGGTACTGTATACTTTTTACTGTGTATATATATATACAGTTTTCTTTTTGTAAACGATAATATCGTGTCATTCATTAGGTAATTACCACTTCATCGTTGTATATATCTATCTACATTAAATGCGTAGTAATAGGTATCCTTTCTATGTTTCCAATTATTTCAATTCCAGTTCCATTAAATTCCATTTCCAGACGACATTTACATTAATTATTTCATGACAGCATATCGTAACAATAAAGTTACAAATAGGAAATAACTTGTCATTGTTTAAGTAATAGCAGTAATAACTTACAGATGTTTATCAATTTAAAATATTAATACAACTTGCACCCCTTAACATAAATATCCTTCTTAATGTAAATCTAATTAAAACATTATTTATTTAAAAGAGCAACACACAAGTTTCTTGCTCTTTCTTCTAGTGATGAGTCTGCGTTCCGAATGAGTGGTAGAATAAAAAAAAATTGACTATTCAAAAGTGCTCATATTAAGTTTATTTGAACAAAGATTATTTCTATTTCAACACAAAATTGAATTCATACGGTTTAAAGATTTTTGAAGTTTTCTCTGGGATAATAATTTGGCAAGCTATAATAATTAGAATTCAAGACTTAAGTATATTTTGATGTTTTTGTAATTAAAACTTACGTATTATTTTAAAAGCGAAAATAGTAATGCTTTCTAATGCCTGGCTACAAATATAGGATTTATACACCGATCCATGTCAAGGTTCTGTCAGAGTAGTACGTGGAAATCTGAGTAATTATTAATGTAGGTTAACTTAGAACATGGAACATTTCGATTTCACGCAGATTTATTAGTTTGCTGTGCCTGTCACTTCATTCACATTGTACAACTATAAAATATGCTCCAAAGAGATTAAAATATTGTTTTTTTATCCTTTGTGAAGTACATTTAACTATTATTTTAGGGTCGGCAACTCGCAAGTGATAAGCGCTTGAAACACCAGGGGTGGTGTTTCAGGCGTTCATAGGCTACGGTAACCTTTTACCATCGTATCGGTATCATCGGGCCGTATGCTTGATTGCTACCATCGTAGTATAAAAAAAAATATATAATTATTAACTAGCCTCTGATAAAACTACCGGCTTTATTCAGAATATAAAACAATAATTGTTTTATATTCTGAATAAAGCCCGAATATGTTGCTGTGTACCTATACTCGTATATATTTGTATTATATTATTGTATATTTATTTTATAAGTTATGTATTTATATATTATGTAGAATGTATATGTTTATGATATGTATTATTTTATATATTAATATTATTAATGTTTCTACTCCATCATGCGCCATCAGGTGGTGGATCTGTCTTTTCTCCTCTACCCAAAGGTTGTCTGGTAGAGATCGCATAAGCGATAAGACCGCCTTTTGTATCCATAATCTAAATATTGTTTTCGTTTGTATATATGTTTTTTTTTGTTATTATGGTGCAATAAAGAGTAATAAATAAAAAATACAAAAATTTGTACATGACAATATTAATTTTAAGGTTTATTATTAACACAAAACGAATATATATAAATAACTATTCACCCGATTAGAAGGTGCTGTAGATTATATATGAATCTATACTC